CAACCCCATAAAAAATGTGAAATGACATAAACAGGCACTTTATAAAAAATATTTACAAGTGCCTGGTAAGCACATGAAAAGATGCCCAACACCATTAGTCATCAGAGAAATACAAGTTAAAACCACAATGAGATACTATATACCCACTAGAATGGCTAAGATGAAAAAGATTGACAAGTAATGGAGATGAGTTGTTGGTGGGAATGTAAAATGGTATAACTGTTTTGTAAAATAGCTGGTAGTTTTTTAAAAAGTTAAACATACACCTATCATATAACACAGCAAATCCACTCCTAGGTATATTTACCCAAAAGAAAGGAAAACTTGAAATCGGAGGGGGAGATGAACCATGAGAAACTATGGACTCTGAGAAACAAACTGAGGGTTCTAGAGGGGAGGGAGGTGGGGGGATGGGTTAGCCTGGTGATGGGTATTAAAGAGGGCACGTTCTGCATGGAGCACTGGGTGTTATACGCAATGAATCATGGAACACTACATCAAAAACTAATGATGTAATGTATGGTGATTAACATAATAAAAAAATAAAATAAATAAAATAAATTTTAAAAAAAGACTTGTGCATGAATGTTCTTGGCAGTTTTATTAATGACAAAAACTGAATATGACCCACATGTCCAACAGGTAAAACAAACTGCAGCATATCTAAAAAATGCAATACAAGACAGCAATAGAAAGGAATGAACTGTTGACACATTAACAATATGGATGAACCTCAGGGTGCCTGGGAGGCTCAGTCGGTTAAGCATCCCATTCTTGGTTTCCACTCAGGTCATGATCTCAGGGTTGTGAAACTGAGCCCCGCATCAGGCTTTGTGCTCAGCACAGTCTGCTTGAGATTCTTTCTCTCCCTCTCCTTCTGCCTCTTCCCCCTCACACTCTCCCTCTCTCTCAAATAAATTTTTTTTTTAAAAATGGATGAACCTCAAAACATTATGCCAAATACTGGATGTTGTATGTAAGTGATGAACCACTAAATAGTATACCTGAAACTAACATTATACTGTATGTTAACTAACGGGAGTTTAAATAAAAACTTGAAAAAGAAAAAAAAAATTGTGCCAAATAAGAGATACCAAATACAAAAGAGTACATATACTAGTCTTATGTAGTATATATATAATTTATTACACCATTTATATAAAATTCTAAAACATTCAAAATTAGTTTACAGTATGGCAAATTTTATGTTATAATTATTTTATCACAATAAAATAATAAAATAGAAAAACAATCTACAGTAATAGAAAGCGAACAAGTGATTTCCCAGGATCTGGAGTTGACTGCAAAGCACAAGGAAACTTCTTGGGGTGACAGAAATGTTCTATAGACATGGATGCATACACTTGTCAAAATTCATCAAAGAGCACAGCTAAGTAGAATAGACGCATTTTTTAAAGGATTTTATTTATTTATCTGACAGAGAGAGAGCACAAGCAGGGGGAGGGGGAGAGGGAGAGCAGACTCCTCACTGAGCAGGGAGCCCAACGCGGGGCTCCATCCCCAGGACCCTGGGACCATGACCTGAGCCGAAGGCAGATGTTTAACCGACTGAGCCACCCAGTCGTCCCACAGATGCATATTTGTATGTAAATTATACTTAAGTAAAATTTATTTAAAATTTTTAAAACAACAACAAAATTTAAAAAATTTTAAAAACACACACATACACACACAAAACTTTCCTTACAAAGGCAAGAGAAAAAAAAAGTCTGGGAAACAAAGTATATGAAGTTCCAGTTATAAGCACATTGAAATAAGTCTTCATTTCAGTCTTTGTTACAAAAGGCCTACTGTGATGTCAGTGTATTAATTTAATATTGCTGCACAATAAATTTTCACAATCTTAGAAATTTAAAACAACACAAATTTATTGTCTCACAGTTTCCATGGGTCGGGAGTCTGGGCTGAGTTCATTGCTTAGGGTCTCACTTGAAATCAAGGTGTCAGAGGGACATGATCTCATTTGAGGCTTAGGGTTCTCTTCCAGGCTCATTCAGGTTAGCAGAATTAGGTTCGTCGTGATTAGATGGCTGGAGTTTGTTTTCTTGCTGGCTCGCTCAGCTCCTAGAGGCTGCCCTCAGTTCCTAGCTTTATGGCTTTCTCACAACTTGGCTACTATTTCAACAAATCCAGCAGAAAAATCTCCTTTAAAGGTTCACCTGATAAGTCAGGCCCACCACAGATAGCCTCCCTGTCAAAGGACATTAATAACATCTGCAAAATCTCATCTTTGCCACATAACATAATCTCATGAAAGGGCTGAAACCCTATTATATTCATAGATTCTTCCACGCTCAAGGGAAATTGACTAGATAAGGTATGCACATAAGGAGGACAGGAATCTTAGGGGCTATTCAGAATTCTGCCTACCATCGTCTGCCCTCTGGCACTCAATAATTCATTCCCCCCCAAAGGAAAAAGAAGTTCACTCCCTCCCAAGGTTCCCTTCCCCTGCCATTACGCTGGCAGCTCAAAATCCATGATCTCATCATCTAAATCATCTATATGTGGTACAAATAATGCTCCTGGGTATAATCCATTAAGTACAGTTCCTCGAAGAAGCACAATTCCTCTTGGGAGACCTGGGAAACTAAAGAGACCAGTTGTCTGTCCCCAACACTCCGATCACAAAATGGTGGACCAGGCATAGAAGTTAGAGATATTTCAGTTCAAAACTTCCATTTAAAAAAAAAACTTCCATCCTTGCCTTTTCATGAAAGGTATAACAAACTTGCAGGTGAGTAATTTTATCAGCCTGCTTCCTAACAGAATTTTGCTGGGTCTTAGCCTCTGCTGTTTGTTAGAGTAGCACCACCCTTGATTCTACAACCTGTCTTAGTTCTCTGTTCTTGCATATAACAAATTACCACCAATTCAGCAGCTTAAAACAACAGACATTTACTATCTCCCTGTTCCTGTAGATCAGAACTACAAGCATGGTTTATCAGGTTTTCTGCTTATGGGCATGCCAGGCTGCATCCCAGGTATTTCCTGGAGCAAAGGGCTTATCAGAAGAATTGCTGGAGAAAGATCTGCTTCCAAGCTCATTGAGGTTGTAGGTAAATTCCCATTCCTTGCACTTATATAACTGAGGCTACTGGCCCTAAAGCCCGTATCATAGCAACTGGCTTCTTCAAGGCAAGCAGGAGAGTCTTGCATCAGTCAGCTAAGATCAAGTCTTACATAACAACATAATCATGGAAATGATCTCCCGTCACTTTTACACCCCATCACTTTTGCCATATTCTTTTGGCTAGAAGCAAGTCACAGGTTCTGCCCACATCTAAGGAGAGAGGATTATACAAGGGCATGACTCATTGGGCGCCATGTTAGTATGTTCCTTTGTCTCTGTTTTCTTCAACCTGAGAAAAACTGCTATGGTCTTTCACATTTCTAGTATTTGGCACAGAGCCTAACACAAAGGAGCTCTAGATAATTTAAAGCTGCAGTTTTCAAACCTATGATTTCAGGATCCCTTTTATACTCTTAAAAACATTATTGAGACTTACAAAAAATTATTGAGGACCTGAAAGAACTTTTGTTTATATGGGTTATATGTACTGATTTTTAGTAAGACATTTAAAACTTCATTTACTGATTCATTAAAAAGTAGTAAACTCATTATATGTTAACGTACATAACATTTTTTAAGATTTTATTTATTTACTTGAGAGAGTGAGAAAGAGAGACAGAGAACACACACAAGCCAAGGGAGGGAAAGAGAAGCAGACTCCCCGTTGAGCAGGGAGCACGACACAGGACTCAATCCCAGGACTCCCGGATCACTACCCGAGCTGAAGGCAAACGCCCAACCGACTGAGCCACCCAGGTGCTCAATGGACATAACATTTTTTTAAATAATTATATTATCCAAAAAAATGTGAGAAGAGTAGCATTGTAAAACAAAGATTTTGCTAATCTTTTTCATGCCTGGCTTAATGGAAGACAGCTAGACTCTCATACCTGCTTCCACATACAATTACACATCATACAGCCTCTGGGAAATGCCACTGTAGAAGGCAAAGAATGTCTTCATATTACTGCGCATATAGTTTGACCTTATAGGCGCCCCGAAAAGGATCTTAAGGAACTACAGGGATCGCCAGACCACACTTTAAAACCACTGCTTTAAATAATTGTCATAAGTTGAGGGAAGGAAGGAGTTTTAATTCACTCGAAAAGTTTTCGAGGGCCTACTCTGCCCCAGCTACTGTTCAAAGTAAACTAGATAGATCAGGTCCTGTCCTCGGGGTACTCAGGGTACGGTGACAGAAAGATCAGGAACCGCTTCTGTTGACATTTGAGCTGAGACTTAAGTGAAAGAGGTCACGCCATGCAGAGATCTGGGGAAAGAGAGTTCCTGGCAGAAAAAGGGGGCCCTGCCTCTCTGGAATGTAGGCAGAAGAATCCGGTCATAAGAGGTCAGACAGGTGGGCAGGACCAGATCTGGCGGGGCCAGGTAAGGAATTAAGAGTTTTAAGTCTAGGGCCGCCTGGGTGGCTCAGTTGGTTGGGCGACTGCCTTCGGCTCAGGTCATGATCCCGGGGTCCTGGGATCGAGCCCCACATCGAGCTCCCTGCTCGGCTGGAGGCCTGCTTCTCCCTCTCCCACTCCCCCTGCTTGTGTTCCCTCTCTCGCTGTCTCTCTCTCTCTCTCTTTCTGTCAATTAAGTAAAATTAAAAAATTTAAAATAAAAGAGTTTTAAGTCTAAATTTCTTGACTGTAGCAAAATGGAGGAAGAGGGTGGAATGGCTTAAGGATGTGTGTTTGGAGCTAGGAAAGTCACTCAGAGGTCAAGCACTTGCTCCTGGGCCGGGGCCAGTTTGGCTTCTCCCAGCCGCCCAACCCGGCCTGGAGCGTCAAATCCGCTTAATGACGCGACTGGGGCGGAGGGGTTGGGGAAGAGCGCGTCCTACCTCAGGAAGTTTGGATCTCGGCGCCCGCCGTAGACGTCGTGACAGAGGCGGCCCGTTGCCTGGGAGCCAGTGAAACGCCACTCGGCCTGCGCCGCTGTGGAGAGTGCCAGCGTTGGTCCTCGGTCACCATGTCGGTGCTGGACGCGCTTTGGGAGGACCGGGATGTCCGCTTCGACGTCTCCTCGCAGTGAGTCGCTCCCGGGGCCTGTAGAGGGCGCCGCAGCGCGGTTTCAGGAGGAGCCTGCGCCCCCAGAGCTCACGGCCCTCGCGAGAGTGGGAGGAGGTTTGCTCCTCTGGTCTGCTCGCCGGGAGATCCCGGACTGGCCCGACCACTGCGGGAATGCGTCTCCGTTAAACCGTTTCAGTCCAGGGCGACCCCGGCCCGCTGGGGAAGCTGAGCCCAAATACGTCCGGGACCATGTAGGGCTTGGGCGTCCAGTACACCCAAGTGAGCTTGGGGTGCCAGTTTCCTGTGGTGGAGGGACGTTGGGCAGGGACTCAGGAGACCAGGGTTCTGAAACTGGGTCTGGAATAGCGACACACCTTGTGGTCGCTATCCTAAGCTTGAGCCTCTTTGTCTGTAAAACAAGGGAGGTGGGAATAAAGATTCTCCAAAATTCCTAACCACGCAGACTTTATTTCCGTAATAAGCTTTCATTTAAATCACCAATGGAAAGAAGGAACTACTTTTTGGAACCTCTCAATAGAAACTCTGGGTTTTTAGGGGGAGGGGGGGTTTATTGGTTTTTTTTTTTTTTTTAAGTTCATGCTTTAAAGAAAGAATACTTAAAATACTTAAAATCCTCCCAAAGACCAGGGGAAAAATGCCCATTGAGGTATTAACTGTTGGAAGACCGTGAAGCTAAAAGATTCTAGGGTTAATGGAATGAAGCTTCTTAGCCACTTCTTATTTCTTATTATGACCAAAACCTTAGAAAATGAAATAATTTCCCAGGCTTAGTTGTAGCTAGATATCTAATAATAACATGATCTTAGATCCTTTAAAAAGTTGTGAGGGAAGGGAATTTATAAAATTATAAACGATGGTTACATATTGCACACATTCTGTGATTTTTTTTCTATTATTCTTGGAGGGTTCTTAATCCAAGCAAAAGTCCATTTCATGAATAATTCCATTTAATTGAACATTTATCAAATGCTTACTATGTGCTAGTTACTGTGCTGATAGCTAGAGATACAAAAATAATAGAAAATTATTACCTGCCCCCCGTTTTAGTGCAGGAGATACACATAGACAACTGTTTTTAAAAATGTGGTAAATAGCATCCTGAAAAAAATGAACAAGAAGCTGGGGTATCATAGAAACAGAATAGTTCATTTTGCCTGGGGAAGGCCTTGAAGAAGAAATAATATTTGAGTTCAACCCTGAAGATTAGACAGGGCCTTGTCAGGATAGACAGAAGGAGAGTATTCCAGAAAAAAAGAAAACAAAACATTAGGAGCATAGTCTTGGAAGCATAAACGTCATTGGCTGGAAGGCAGGGTCGGCAGGTAGAGGATGGAGGAACAAACAGAAAGGTAGATTAGCCAAAATGTTTAGCTGAGGATTTTGGACGTCATTTTCTAGGCAGGAAAACTCTTAAGCAGGGAAGTTATATTATGATTATATCTGTATTTTCAGTAGGTAATTGAGTCAGCTGTATGGAGAATGTGTTAGAAGGCTTTACCAAATACTCTCCTAGGTTTTTGTTTTAGGACACTCTGGAATGCATTCTATCAGTCAGCAAACTATTTTTCACTCCTTATTTCCTTTTATTTCCTGTATCTAATTGTTTGCCAAGTCCTGATCGTGCTTTGCTTTAACTTGCTCCTTCCATAACTGCCTGACTTCCTTTCCTCTACTCAGAAACCTCTGAGGGTTCTCCATTGTCCATAGGACAAGGCCCATACCTATCCGACTAGCATTCAGAGGTAGTGGCATATATTTCTCACTACCTTGTAACATGGATCTTCTTCCCTAGCCAGGCCCGTCTTTCCACATTCCCTTATCATTTCTTTTTTCTGGTCTTTAATCATGGACTCTCCTCCCTCTCTCTCTTATTTCTCCAAATCGTACCTCTCCTTTTTCAGGCTTCTCTACATGTCCCTGGTCACTCCAGGCCCCAGTGGTCTCCAGATTCTTAAAAGTTTCTTAAGCCCTTATTTTCAAATGCATGAGCATTTGGTACTATTTCATTTATACAGTTGGCTGTTTTATGTGCATAAATCTCTTCTCTCCTTAACTAGATTGTAAGTGGGTATAGTTGTAGCTATTAAAGCCTTGATATTTACTTTAGACAAATGAAAACAAGACCTGGAGAAGTCCTTATTGATTGTTTAGATTCAATTGAAGACACCAAAGGAAATAATGGGGATAGAGGTGAGTATATTTTCTAATATTTTTTATATTTCTGGTTTGATTTACAAATGTTAAATCATACTAGCTGGAGAATAAGATATGAAACAGCATTATATGTAAATGTAATTGTGACAGCGAAAGAGTTAAATCCACATAAGACTTTTCTCAGACTTAAACAGGAGAAAAGGTGGGTATTAAACCTGTAGCCAGGGAATACAGGTTCTTCCTCGGAACTTTGGTCCTTCAGTAAGTCCCAGTTTTTGTTTTTGTTTTTTTTAAAGATTTTATTTATTTATTTGAGAGAGAGAGAGAATGAGAGATAGAGAGCATGAGAGGGAAGACGGTCAGAGGGAGAAGCAGACTCCCTGCTGAGCAGGGAGCCCGATGTGGGACTCGATCCCGGGACTCCAGGATCATGACCTGAGCCAAAGGCAGTCGCTTAACCAACTGAGCCACCCAGGCGCCCAGTAAGTCCCAGTTTTGACATCAGCTTTCTCCAACATAACTGTTAAAACTCTGGGATCCCTGTTTGTAAGGGTCATGGAATAGTTCTGACTTTTGAATCTGCCTCCCCACACAAAGAATATGACATCATAGAACATAAGTAGGTCACAGGTGTGCTATCTGGAGCCATGCTTCCTTTTAAGAAATCCAAGAGTAATTCACAATCCCCCAGACTGACACCTGGAGATGGACATGTGGAGAGCAAATTTAGTGCTGTATTGTGAAGTCTATTTGTAGGTTAAGCACTGAAAAGTCCTGTGAGACATTTATGTATGTCATTGAGGAGCAGCCAGAGTTGGACTCTGGACTCCCTCTCAAACCAAATTTTCCAAAGGCTGGAACTTTGAAAAGTCCAGGCTGCACACAACAGCTGTACATAGAGTCAGTATCCCAGGTCTTGTAAGTATCACTACTGTTGTTTTGGGGGAAAAAAATAGGGGATGAGTGGGCAGCCTAGTATATCTGAGAAGGTTTTTTAGAGGAAAGGAGGTTTAGGAGGATGGGTCATAAACCTCTTATTGAAAAGAGTGGGGGCAAAGGAGCAGCCCTCCTTAAGGTGAGAAAGATCAGTAAATCCTAGAGTCTCCACAGTAACCCTTTTTGGGAGAACATGCTCACTGCAGCCTTTCAAGTGGTCACTTGCTCTCTTAGTCTTTCTTCTGGTCTGCTCTGGGGTGGAATGTGAGCAGCAGGTTTAGTTGTGGGCCTTTCTTCCCTGTGAAGGGCACCTGTCGTCACCACCAGCTACAGGCAGATCCTGTCAATGGCAAGGGCCCATCCTTAAAAGAATGCTTAGATCACATTTATGAAATGCTTCCTAGTGTCGGGCAGGCCCAGGTGAGAGTGAGGTGTGAGGGTTTAGCAGCAAACAAGAAGTCTTAGTTTGTGCCTTTGAGGACCTTTGAGAGTGCAATAATAATCTCTAGATATCTGGATCTTGACAAATGTGAATTAACTTAAGGAAGCCAAGAGAAAATTCGGTTGTTCTCCTGCAGACTGGCAGGAACTCTTATGTGACAGTCCATCCACCAGTCCAGACAAAGACTATGGGTACTAGAACATTTTTCAATTCATTGAGTACTCATTGAGTGCAGAATCTTATACTAGGATTTTGGAATAGAGGGGGCAAAACGCCTCCCTGGCCAGAAGTATCCATCACAGTGAGTGCCTGAAATCTTCCTATTTATAAAAATAACTATGTGTACTCACCTCAGAAACAGTTCCCCAGAAAATAGAATATTACAGGAGGGTATAGAGCTTCTGGTTAATAAGAAGGTAGAAAAGAGAAGGGGACTCCTGCCTTCTCCTGCCATCTTCCTTCCCAGCAGTTTGAAAATGACCCAATTAAGGCATTCATTAAGTTCAGGATACCCGTGTTAAAACTATAAATACCCCAAAAGATTAGCACATTTAATCCATTTCAACTGTAAGTACCCTGACATGAAATTATCAGATTAGCTTTATACATTGAAGCTGAATGGGAATGAAACAGCCGTATTTCAGTGTTTGAGATTAGGAAAAACAGGGACAGTTATTATTTTGGTGTTTGGAAAGACAGAGAGTAAAGTCCATGCCTAGGACACTGGGTTTGTAGCGATAGGATGAGGCCTTTCAGCAAGAAAGAGGCAACATAAGAATGATAGAGATTTGTAGGAAATGTACCAAGAACAGAAAAATAGGTAATCAGACTTGGTCAGTGACTTTACTTACCACTCCATAATTTTTCCTGGAATCCTCTAGTAGACAAATAACAAAAAGAATCAAAAGATGTGGTAGGCTTATAGTCCAGTTGTGGAGACATAATGTTACATGAAATGGTGTAAGGAAAACATAAATCAGTGTATCTATAATAACAAAATAAATAATAAAAATTGGTTTGTAAAGAATTAAAATATTAAAAAATAACAATAGTTAACATTTTGAATGTTTACTCTTTGCCAGTCACTGTTCTGAATCTTTTACATAATATGTGTAATATCATTTAATAATAAAATTAATAATAAAAAATGAAGTGGATGTTGTCACCCTTTTTCTTTATAAGGAAACTAAGGAACAGAGGTTAATTAACTTTTCCAAAGCCACATAGCTACCAAGTGATGAACCAAACAGCCTACATTGCTTTCCAAACTGCTAGGATCACATTATTCTCTTCTCAGAAATTTTCAGTTCTCTCCAATCCCAATTCTAAACCCCAACTCTGCCTCCATTGCTAACAGATCTAAGTCTGAATTTCTCTTTTTTAAATTTTTATTTTAATTCCAGTTAGTTAACATTCAGTGTTATATTAGTTTCAGGTGTGCAATATAGTGATTCAACAGGTCCATGCATCACAGGTGCTCATCACAACATGTGCACTCCTTAATCCCCATCACCTGTTTCACCCAAGGCCTTCCCCCACACTCTTGGTAACCATCAGTTTGTTCTCTATAATTAAGAGTCTACCTCTTGGTTTCTCTCTATCTCTCTCTCTATTTCTTTTTTCCCTTGTTTGTTTTGTTTCTTAAATTCCACTTATGAGGAGCGCCTGGGTGGCTTAGTCCTTAAGCGTCTGTCTTCGGCTCAGGTCATGATCCTGGGGTCCTGGGATCAAGCCCCACATTGGGCTCCCTGCTCGGCGGGAAGCCTGCCTCTCCCTCTACCACTCCCCCTGCTTGTGTTCCTGCTCTTGCTCTGTCGCTCTCTCTCTCTGACAAATAAATAAATAAGATCTTTAAAATTAAAAAAAAATTCCACATATGAATGAAATCATACGGTATTTGTCTTTCTCTGACTTACTTTGCTTAGCATTATACTCTCTACCTCTGTCCACGTCATTGCAAATGGAAAGATTTTATTCTTTATGGCTGAATAATATCCCGTGGTTTATATATACCACATCTTCTTTATCCATTCATCAACCAATGGGCACTATATCTTGGCTGTTGTAAATAATGCTGCTATAAACATAGGGGTGCATGTATCCATTTAAATTAGTATTTTTGTATTCTTTGGGTAAATACCCAGTAGTGTGATTTCTGGATCGTAGGGTAGTTCTATTTTTAACTTTTTGAGGAACCTCCATACTGTTTTCCAAAGTGGCTGCACCAGTTTTCATTCCCACCAAGAGTGCGTGAAGGTTCCTTTTTCTCCATATCCTCACCAACACATGCTGTTTGTTGTGTTGTTGATTTTAGCCATTCTGGCAGGTGTGAGGTGATGTCTCATTGTAGTTTTGATTTGCATTTCCCTGATGGTAAATGATGAATATCTTTTCATGTGTCTCTTGGCCATCTGGATGTCTTTGGAGAAATGTCTGTTCATGTCTTCTGCCCATTTTTTAATTGGATTATTTGTTTTTTGGGTGTTGAGTTTTCAAGCTCTTTATATACTGTGGATACTAACCCTTTATCAGATGGCATTTGCAAATATCTTCTCCCATTCCATAGGTTGCCTTTTGGTTTTGTTATTGTTTACTTTGCTGCAAAGAAGCTTTTTTATTTTTATTTAGCCAGTAGTTTATTTTTGCTTTTGTTTCTAAGTCTGAATTTCTGGATCTAGCATTGAAGAACTTCTAGTTTGTCCACAAAGAGTCTTGCTTATGCCACTGGCTTACATTTGTCCCTCCAGGTCCAGCATCCATCACCCTTTCCCCCTTGCCCTGGAAAAATGACTTGTATAGACTACATCAGGGGGCTCTTATGCACTGTAGCTTTGGGTTGGAAGAGCCATTCCAGAAGATTAAAGGGAGGCAGGAGAGTGAGGTCTGGGTATTTATTCCCCTGGTTCTTTCTTCTCAAGGTATTCAGCTGTGCAGGACTTCCAGATTTGGCTAACTGTTCCCTGTCCTTGTCCCACTGGGCCTGGGGTGGTAACAGGTTTGCAGCACTCACTTATGGTTCCTGACACCCCACCCATACCTTTGTAATAGTCATTTTATAAATAAACTTCAGTTACTCTAATTTGAGTGTGCCATCTGTTGTCTGTTTGACCTCAACCGATAGATGCAGTGTCTACTCTTCTATGATCTTGAGTGAATCTTATACTCTTGCCATGATGGGTTATTTATTTTTTGTCAAACATATTATGTTATGTTCCACAGTTTCTCTTGAGAAGGCCTTCCTTTATTTTGGTAACCGCCTTGTATCATCTCACTCTAGCATTCATACAAGCTTAGTTTCTCTGATTTTGGATATTCTGGAGGTTTTCAGGGAGGAAGTATTACCTGGCTATAGATTACTATATGGTTATAATTTGTTGAAGAAATGTTGGTTAAAGTTAAGTGAGTTTTATTCAGGATATCACAAAGTTATGCTAAAATGTTAATTACATTATAAATCCGTAAGACAGTTTACCATGCTCAGATTTACTTGACTTTTTTTTCTAGAGCATTTATAGGGACTACTGTTTCATAAGACACACTTTGAGAAATGAAGTTTATCTAACTCTATTTCAGTGTAAGAACATCAGTCTGAAGTTAGGAATGAAAAGCATAAAGCCTTAAGCAGACTTCAGCCTGGTCATAACTTCATATATGAGCAAAAATTTTTTGCTTATTGCAAAAAAAATGGGTTTATAAGTGTGGCTCCTGTAAATGAGAACTGTTAAGAGAGCAGTCCTGTGGCAGAGATTAGTGTATATATGAAAGTCCTTTGAGAAGTATGATTTCACTAAATGGCTTTGTAATTATTCTATCACATACTCATTCCCAGTTGTGCACATATGACCTGCCAGAACTCCCAGAACAGCTTCCACCAAGACAAAAATCCAAGACACAGTTCTCTCTGCTAATTTGAGTCAAACCAAGCTGTTGACATTGAATACCTGTGTCCCTTCTGTAACTATCAGATTTTGTTTCTCTGGGATTCTGAATCATGCATTGTATACTACACAGGGTAGATATGAGCAATAAACATGTTCAGTTGATAAATGTATGAGAACATCTGTGGGGATTACTGCTGTTTGTTTAGAGGCTCCATGTTTACCTCTTTCTGTACTGTAAAAATGGATCCTTACTTAAAGTAACCTATTTTTTTGTTTGTTTGCTCTTAGGTAGACTCTTAGTAACAAATTTAAGAATTATCTGGCATTCTTTGGCATTACCCAGAGTCAATCTTTGTAAGTATCTTTGTTAGATTACACTAAAGAAAAAAAATACTTTGTCAGGTGAACTTGCACAGTGGCTTTTAATAACGAAAAAAGCTATACCATGAAATATGCGGAAAACTTAAATTGATAAAAACTTTAGCAATCTTAGACTAACCACAGACTGTACCATTTTGCAAAAGAAATATTTTTCAGTCCATTTTGTCTCTTGGACATACACGAGATTAGTGCTTTTACACTGAATGGTTTTTGTTCTTTGCTTATCTTTGACAACTTGCTGTGACCTATTTCAACTAATCCCAAAGAAGGGAGATCTAAATTCTAATAAAAGTGCAACCTTCCATTGTGTTCAATTTTGTTTTACTTATATTTTTTAAAATTATTTTAGATTGTCCAGCTAGACTTTTTCTCTTGAGGTACTGGTGCTAAGATGTTCAGTAAATAATATTGTATAGGTTTTAGAGAAGCAAACTTCCTTTCTTTCTTCCTTAGAGAAGCTTTGAATGTTGTTTGTCCAAAGAAGCAGAATTTACTTTTAGTTCTTTTAATTATTTAACTGAAATTTGTAGCAATTTATTAAAATGTTTTAAAGTTGTACTTTCCATATATTTAATTTTTAACACTTAAAGTTCTGTATATAGAGGTTTTTATCTCTCAGTTTATTATATCATGTTCTTGAAATTCTTTGCTTTTGAATTTTAGCTATAGGTTACAACTGCATATTGAACATTACAACAAGGACTGCTAACTCTGTAAGTCTGAAAAACTTAACTGAAATATATATAGTGAAGAAACATTAGATATTTGAGATTGGACTTTGTTTTCACTGTAAATGGGAAATTGCTCTTGAAATCTGAACTTTTAAATAAATTTGTCCTTACAGAAATTACGAGGCCAGACTGAAGCTCTTTATATACTAACAAAATGTAACAGTACTCGTTTTGAGTTTATATTTACAAATTTGGTTCCTGGAAGTCCTAGACTTTTTACTTCTGTGATTGCAGTACACAGGTATGGTAATACTTTATGGATTATTGAATAATTTTAAGGCAATTCTATGATAATAGAGGTTTAGAGGATAAAGTGTGTAAGTGTGGTACCATTTTCCTCCAAGCTCAGAAAATTGCAATATTCTGAAGATAGATAGAAGAACATATTGCATTATCATTTAATAAGCACTTTGAAAGTATTTATAAAACAATAAGACTACTGAAGATTCATAAAAATTTCTACTTGAAGATTCTATTACATTTTTAAGCTACCAAGGTAGTTACAGTGAAATAGAGAGTTCATTCAGTATAGATAACCAAGTTGGATAATTCAGTTAATGAATTTAAAAAGATTATTTTAGGGGAACCTGGGTGACTCAGTCAGTTAAACCTCCAACTCTTAGTTTTGGCTCAGGTTGTGATCTCAGGGTCATAAGATTGAGCCCCACCTCGGGCTCTGCGCTCAGTGCAGTCTGCTTGAGTTTCTCACTTCCTTTCCCTCCCTTCCCCCTCCCCGCACTCTCTCTCTCTCTAAAATAAATAAATCTTAAAATATATATATTTTACTAGCAGTAGAAGGCATGTCTGGGTATTTTCCCCAAAGAGTTTTGTTGCTGTTTTCTTTTGTGGTTGTTTGTTCATTTGTTTGCTAAATTATTTTCACTACCTTAGCTCTTTCTTTTTTTAAGATTTTATTAATTTACTTGAGAGAGAGAGAGCACAGAGGGAGAAGGAGAAGCAGACTCCCTGGTGAGCAAGGAGCCCGACGTAGGGTTCCATCCCAGGACTCTGGGATCATGACCTGAGCCAAAGGCAGCTGCTTAAGTGACTGAGCCACCCAGGGGCCCCGCTCTTTTCTTTCTTTCTTTTTTTTTTTTAATTCTATAAGGAAATGCAAGTTGACATTTTCTCATTTCCAAGATATGTAGAAACAACATATTTGCACATAATTTTTCAGGTGTAACTCAGCCTCCATCCACGTGTCATAAATTGCTTTGCAGGAATGCAGGAGTATTTTTCTAACGTCACAATTTCATTATTCAGTGCTGCACATTGTGCTTATATCATTTCCTCCGAGTTAACCTACAAAGGGTGGCAGTTAGCTGGGGAACTGCAGAAAATATGGAACGCTTCACAGATTTGCATGTCATCATTGTGCAGGGTCTATGCTAATCTTCTCTGTATCATTCCAGTTTTAGTATATGTGCTGCTGAAGTGAGCACCTTAGCTCTTAATTTTTAATCAGCCCTAAGTACGATGATTTTTTAAAAGCTTGGCTAAGATGACAGGCTGTTATACATATGCACAAATTTAGACTCACACACACAGAGAAATATATATGCTATTGTTTTAATTTGCATTTCTTTATTACTAGTGATGTTGACATTTTTCTCCTTTTTTGGCTATTTACAGTTTTCTATTATAAATTTCTTAATTATGTCCTCATCAGTCATATATGTTGCGAATTTATTTCTTAGTTTCCTAGTTATTTGATTTTACATTTTGTTGATGATTTTCTAATCTACATAATGGTTTAAATTTTTTTTTAAAGATTTTATTTATTTATTTGCTAGAGAGAGAGAGCATAGGAGAGAGAGAGTGAGCGAGAGCACAAGCAGGGGGAGCTGCAGGCAGAGGGAGAAGTAGGCTCCCCACTGAGCAGGGAGCCCACTGCGGGACTCGATCCCAGGATCCTGGGATCATGACCTGAGCCGAAGGCAGCCGCTTAACTGACTGAGCCACCCAGGCGTCCCATGGTTTAAATTTTTTGAGACATAACTCATATAATATAAAATTTACCATTTTAAAGTTTACAGTTTGAGGGGCGCCTGGGTGGCTCAGTTGGGTAAGTGTCTGCCTTTGGCTTGGGTCATGATCTGGGGGTCCTGGGATGGAGTCCTGCAGGGAGCTGAGCAGGGAGCATGCCTCTCCCTCTGCCTCTCCCACTCACCCCCTCCCACTTGTGTGCTCTCTCTCACTCTGCTCTCTCTCAAATAAAGTCTTTTTAAAAAATAAATAAGGTTTACAGTTTGATAGTTTTAGTATTTCACAAGATTGTGCAGCTATCATCACTACCCAATTCTGGAATATTTCTGTCACCCCAGAAAGAAACTCATATAGCCCTATAGTCCCCATAGTCCTTCCCCATTCCCTCCTCTTCATAGCTCCTGGCAACCACTGATTTTCTTTCTTTCTCTATGGATTTGCTTATGTGGGACATTTAATATAAATGGAATCATACAATATAGTGGCCTTTTATATCTGACTTATTTCACTTACCTAATGTTTTCATTGACCATCCATGTTATAGCATGTATCAGTACTTCATTCTTTCCTATAGCTAAATAGTATTACATTGTATGAACATACTTTGTTTACCCACTAATTGTTGATAAACATTTGGATTGTTTCTACTTTTTAGCTATTATGAATTTTTTCAGTTCTGTTGGACATATATCTAAACCTTATTAGCTCTTTATTTTACTTTACTTAGAAATATAATCTGAAGACGAGTATGAAAGGAGTATATAAGCTGCTTTTCTTCAGTAGTATAAAAATAAATGTTCCCCTTACAGCATAAATAGTTTCCATTTTGTCCACTGGTTAAACATTGATGATTACAGCACTAAAGGAAATTAAGATTTATAGGCAAATGCTCAAATCCTCCTCTTTCACAATTTATATGTTAGGTTAATTAAAGTTAAAATCACAAGTTTTACAATGAGTATTATGATTTATATAAATGACTTCTAAAGTTATTCAGGCTGAGAAAATCCTTTAGTTTTATTAAGTGGGTAAATTCACCTCTAATTTTGAGGGGTAACATTATAATTAATCAAATGTTATAATAAAACTAATCCAAAAACATAATAAAACTAATCAGGGGCGCCTGGGTGGCTCAGTCATTTAAGCATCCTGACTCTTGATTTTGGCTCAGGTCGTGATTTCATTGTTGTGAGATTGAGCCCCATGATGGGCTCCACACTCAGCGGGGAGTTGGCTTGAGGTTCTTTCTGTTCCTCTCCTTTTTCCTCTCCCTCTGTCCCTCCCCCTGCTTGTGTGTGCTCTCTCTCTTTTGCTCTCTCTCAAATAAATAAATCCTTAAAAAAACTAATCAAAACTAATAATACATAACTTTCTTCTGTATTTATTATTTATCAATAGGAAGGCATGGAGAGAAAACAAAGTTAGAGGGATTTTATATATATTTTATATATATATATATAAATATATATATAAATTGCACACAGATACACACTGTCCTAGGGTCCCTTTGGAGTTGGTACAGAATCATTCCAATTTCCTCTATAGAGGTAGCTGTGAGCACAATGTTTGTAGTTGCAATGAGAAAAGTAATTGTACTCCCAATTGTGCCTTTGACTAAAAGGTGCCTTTGACTAAAACAGAAATGGAGGGAAGCATTTTTTTTAAAAGATTTTATTTATTTATTTGAGAGAGAGAGCACATGAGAGGGGGGAGGGTCAGAGGGAGAAGCAGACTCCCTGCTGAGCAGGGAGCCCGATGTGGGACTCGATCCCGGAACTCCAGGATCATGATCTGAGCCGAAGGCAGTCGCCCAACCAACTGAGCCACCCAGGTGCCCGGAGGGAAGCATTTTGATAGGGAAAAATAATTTCCATGTCTGTTATATGCAAGCATTGTTTTTCAGCTTAAAGAGAAAATGTTTCCTCTCATTTGTGCTGTATGATACATGTTGTCTTAAAAATTAGACCTCCAAAAATAGGTTACTGAAATACTACACTAAAATGATAAAGTCTATAAAAGACTGTGACACCAAAATTTATTGAAAAGCAAATTTTTAAATTTATTGTGATAATTACTTGAGTGATATACATAAGTATTAATAAGTGTATATTTTGGTAGATAAGTAAACATAACCTAGGAAAACCACATTTTCAGTTTGGGTTGGTCTTTGTTCTTTTTTATAGAGCATATGAAACTTCTAAAATGTATCGTGATTTTAAATTGAGAAGTGCACTAATTCAAAATAAGCAACTAAGATTATTACCACAAGAACATGTATATGATAAAATCAATGGAGTATGGAATTTATCCAGTGATCAGGTATTGTGCAAAAAGCTAATGAACCTTTTGGGTCAGTACTTTGGTAATCATTTTTCCATTGTCATTGAGTTTGAATATTCACTTAACTATGTTAAAATTAGCATTATATCTCCTGATAAGCTAATATTATAGCTCTTGATATGAAATGATATTCTGATTTTCATATTTTTATGGGTTTGTGTTCTTTTTAGCAACATTTGTTGTACATAGAATTTACAGGTGGAGTGGTCCTTAGAGATTATCTAGTTCAGTCTCCCTTCACTTATAGACTAAAAACTCAGGCCCCAAAGAATTAAGTGACTTCACACATCTAATTCATCTGAGAACTGTGTTCTTCCCCACATGCTGCACTACTCTCAACATCTTGATAACTTATGCTGATGGAAGATAGCCATGAGGTGGACAGTCATGGAAGACTTTTAATCTGGTCTTTTAGGGGCACCTGGCTGGCTCAGTTGGAAGAGCATGCAATTCTTGATCTCGGGGTTGTGAGTTCAAGCCCCATGTTGGGTGTATTTTATTTAAAAATAAAATCTTAAAAAAAAAAAGAAAATCTGGTCCTTATGGAATTAAACGTATAACTCATTTGGTGATTCCCACATCTATTATCATAACTTCTTATTTGCTCTTGAAGTTATGACCAGTTAAAACATCTAAGTTGGAATTAAGTAACACATCAATTTCTAAAGAAAAATTTTCTCTTACCTAAGAATAGTTTCCAGCCTCTGTGTTACACCCTAGGTTAGACTGATAACCTCTGGAGTAAAGCTATAGCATTTGAATGAAGAGCTTCTTGCTAAACGTTGAATCATAAACTTAAGTTGTAATTAAATTTTGCTCATTTGAAAAGTTCTAGTTTTGGGGCACCTGGGTGGCTCAGTCATTAAGCGTCTGCCTTTGGCTCCGGTCATGATCCCAGAGTCCTGGGATCGAGCCCCACATCAGGCTTCCCACTATGCGGGAAGCCTGCTTCTCCCTCTCCCGCTCCCCCTGCTTGTGTTCCCTCTCTCGCTGTGTCCCTCTCTATCAAATAAATAAATAAATCTTAAAAAAAAAAAGAAAAGTTCTAGTTTTAAACACTGATAATGGTTCTGTAGTATATAGACAGCTCTACATCTGAGTAAGTCCTCATCAGGATTCAGCAATCTTTTTACTCTAATGGGCCAGATGGTAAATATTTTAGGCTTTGCATGTCATACCATTTCTGTCATAACTTCTCAGACTTGCCATTGTAGTGTGAAACCAGCCATAGGCAACAAATGAGCATGGCTATGTTTCAATAAAACTTTGTTATGGACGCTGAAATTTGAATTTCATACAGTAGTCATGTATCATGAATTATTATTCTTTTGACTTCTTTCCAGCCATTTAAAAATCTAAAACTTGGTTTGTGGGGCCAAGAAACTTGGCTTCTTGGCTTGTGGGCCATACAAAATGAGGCAGCAGGCCAGATTTGTCCCGCAGACCATAGTTTACAGATCCCTACCTGAGGTCATAGCTTAGATGTCACTTTCTATAAGCTTCCCTCTGTGCGTTACTTATGCAAGCTATACTTAATTACCACTTTACATTGTTCCTGCTCTAAAATACTGAGCTTGTCTGTACCCCAACATTAGTAGGCTTTATAAGGGTAGGAGTGGAATCACTCTGTTAGATCCTTACCATCTAGCACCACACCACAGGCATTTTAAATTAATCAATTAAGATGTTCAGGATTATCAGAAATAGTTTACTGAAAAGAGGAATGTTATTGTTAACCTAACTTATGTTTATTAAATATAAAATATGCCCTCCTATCTTTTAAAAAATGCTTAGTTTTGCAAGTTGCTCTCTTCTAAAATAAGAAGAAAGAATGACATAAATAATTATTCCTTATAAAATTAGACTTAGTACTGTTTAATGGGACGTGGGCCAGGAAAAGGGGCTAAAATTTTTTGTATAACAATTTTTTGCGAGATGAGAGTAGAGGAGGGAAATCTAGACACTTACACATATGTTTATTAACTTAATTATAATTAAGAAATAGGTGGTCTTTTCTGATGTTTCAAACCTGGTCATCCCAGAAGAGGACTTTTCAGGTTTTGGGTTTGTAAGTTAATGTTTTGTGTCCAAACTCAGCGTATAAAATAAATTCCTCTGGGAGTATATGGTGGGGAGGAGGTGGAGGTGGAGGTGGATAATGATACGGATAAATGGTAGAGGTGGCTAATTTTGGTGCCATGTACTAGGTATTACAGATTTTTTTAGACCATTTAGTTACCATACTGGAGTAATTTTGAGTAGATGTTGAGGGGCCATATAATTGGAAGACAGTTTTGATTTATAGTTAGTATTGAAAAGCTGTAAAACATTTCTTGTGGACTAATGGGGGTTATCACATAAGTTTTGTCTTTCTCTTACCACAACTTCCTTGTCTTAACTTATCCCAGGTTTTGAATAATAGTTGTAATAAGATCTAACACTGCAGAATGCTTACTATGTGTCAGACACTGTGATAAGGGCTTCATTTATAGGGGTTTTTTATCAAATCTCCATTTTACGTTTGACACAATGCACCAAGAACAAATTTTTGCCCATGGTCTGGCAACTGATAAGTACTGATGGTATAATGATTAAAGTCTAACTTCAGAATCCAGGCCCTCAGTCATCTAATTGTTCTTCGATCCAGTGAATAATGAAGTCATTAATACTCCATGGTACTCAATTCTGGTATTCTCTGCTACTGTGATAATCAGAATTATTCTGATGTTTAGAAAATAAAGAATAAGTAGTCAAGCAAATGATTATTGATGTATCTCATCTTTTACAGGGAAATTTAGGAACCTTTTTTATTACCAATGTGAGAATTGTGTGGCATGCAAATATGAATGACAGTTTTAACGTCAGCATACCATATCTACAAATTGTAAGTGCATGCATTTTGGTGACCTTATTTTAATGTAGAATAAATAATTTCTGTTCATTAGTTAATAGAACTTTCAGGATTAGATGAATTCTGTCTCCCTCTTTTTAAGTGGCAGCAGTGTAGCTGAGAGCAGACTTTAAAATGTTGATAATTTACAATTTCAACATAGAAAAGATCCAATAGTACTTACATTCAAGGGAAACCCCACCATTATCAACTTGCTATTAAGAGAGAAATATACTGGATATTAAAATTTTTAATAGTCACCATACAGGGGCACTTGGGTGGCTCAGTCAGGAGTCTGCCTTCAGCTCAGGTCATGATCCCAGGGCCCTGGGATCGAGCCCTGCTCCAAGGGAGGCCTGCTTCTCCCTCTCCCCCTCCCCCTCCTTGTGTTCCCTCTCTTGCTGTGTCTCTCTCTGTCAAATAAATAAATAAAAATCTAAAAAAAAAAAAAAAATCATAGAGTCTGGTAGGAAGAAAGTGATTTCTGGCCATCTAAAGAAATACAAGAATTAATAATCGTGGCTGGGAAGATATGACAGAGTCTATCTACATAAGCATTTGATAAACTGGTGTTTGTATTGTTCATTGCTGTTTTATATGGTTTACATATGTTAACAGCTTGTCTGATCTAATCTCTATTATACTAAAAAATTACTGAGTAGTAAACAACCTTGTGCTTTTTATTCTTCAGATAGACACTTTTTGTTATTTAAGAATACAGTTACCAAATATCGCCTCTGGAATGAATTCAGCCTGGTCCAAACAACTTGCAATCTGATATCATCACAGTCTGTCACTAGGACAGTCATATTCATGTGACTTTTAAAAACTAACCCAGCCTTGGGAACCACAAAAAACACTGGCTCTCCAGTACTAAAAGATTACTTTGGTTTAAAATACTCAGAAAAATTGTAGACTCCCTGATTGTGGGGGATATTCGAGTCAAATAATTTTGTGCATATTTCAGAGATGTCTTCTTTGTATTACCTTACAAGTTTGCTGCCTGTTTCTAGTATGAACATTTTCATTTACTTGTTCTCTATGGGAGTATAATGAAGGAAAGAGGGAGAATCTTTAGATTATGAAATGCAGTTACTGTATAGAAGTTGAAAAACTTGTTTGTGCTAAAGAATCACTAATATCAGATAATAAAAATGTGCATTTTCTTCTTTTCCATTTTACATCTAGCGTTCAATAAAGATTAGAGATTCAAAATTTGGTTTAGCTCTTGTCATAGAAAGCTCTCAGCAGGTAAGATATTTTATGTCTGTATTAATCTTTAATAGGTTTTTTAAACTATGTGACAGTCTATATTTTTTGTTTTATTTATATAGTAACCAGTTTACATCCAAGAGGAATATTAGCTGTAACATGTTAAATAAAGAGTTTAAAGTCATATAATAATTGTCCACATAGGAAAAATCTTTTTATGTTTCCTTGTTGGGCAGACATAACCATTATTGTCATTATGATTATCATTTTTAATGACAGTTAAGTCACTGTACTTTTCATGAATTCTCTCAATCTTTACACAACCCTATGATACAGTTACTATTTTTCCCCATTTTACATTCAAGGAAACTGAGGCTTGGAGAAGTTAGGAACCTTGCCCACAGTCTCACAACTAGTAAGTAGTGGGAATAGGTTTTGATTCAGGTCTGACTAACTCACCAGAATGTCATTGAGAAACACAGATATATACAAATATACACACACATGCACCCTATTTGAGATTTTATACTCTCACATGCAGATTATACTATATCTAATTATAGTTGCTGTGCCCCATTAGGCCAGATCTTTGCAGAAATACATTTGAATAAAACACTTATTTGTAAAATCAGCGCTCTTCTAAATTCTAAATATAAATATGAATGTCTAGTCACACCTTTCCCTTGGCCTGCAGATTTGTAGCTTCCATTTCCTGAGTGCTTACTATGTTCCAGGAACTGTATCAAATATCATGTGTACATTATTTTATTTAATACAACAATTAGATAACTGTTTTATGGTTAGAAGATTGAGGGTTGAATGGGGTAGCTGAGTGATGGGTATTAAGGAGGACACATGGTGTGATGAGCACTGGGTGTTATACGCAACTAATGAATCATTGAACACTACATCAAAAACTAATGATGTACTATATGTTGGCTAACTGAACATAATAAAAAATAAATAAGTAATAATAACAAGAAAAAGAAAATTGAGGCTTAAAAGATTAAGAAAAGTATGTTTCCCAGCATCATATAGCTAGTAAATTTGTTGTAAAACCAGAATTTAAACTCAAAAGTATATGCTCTCAACCTAAAGCATATGCTCTCACCTTTCACAGTATGCTACTTAATTTTTTAACACTTTCAACAACAACATGTCGTGGTCAGGTTTCTTCCTAATTCTTCAAAGAATTAGCCTCAGCTGGGCCATTCCCTTTCTTTTAATATATGGTCTGTTCCTTTTCAAGGTCTAGCTCAAGAAAAAGTTCCATTGGCCTTCACAATCTATAGTCTATTTTTTTAAATCTTAAAATATCATCTTTGATATTTACAGATGAAATGATGTGATATCTGGATATGCTTCAAAATAATCCTGAGTGGGTAAGGGGAGGAGATTTGGGGAAAGGGGAGGTTAAAGATGGAACAGAGTTGGCCATATGTTGCTACTTATTGAAGCTGGATGATGACTACATGGACACTTATTGTACCCTTTTTTCTATTTTTGTATATGCTTTATGTTTTTCATTACAAAAATTTTAATTAAAAAAATCAGCTTACCTATGGTGCTCTGAAATAAGGACATTATTAGAGCTATAGTTTTCATATACTGTAAATACCTATTCCTCAGGCTTGTTTTTTGTTTATTCATTATTTTTTCTTACAGAGTGGAGGATATGTTCTTGGCTTTAAAATAGATCCTGTGGAAAAACTACAAGAATCAGTTAAGGAAATCAATTCACTTCACAAAGTCTATTCTGCCAGTCCTATATTTGGAGTGGATTATGAGATGGAAGAAAAGGTAATTTGTTCAGTATATAAAATACAGAGTTTGCTGAGTTGCTTTTACAGTCTATAAAATTCAGATATAAACACATTGTATACAGTTTAATTTTGAATTATGTTTAAAATGATAGATATACAGACTCTGCTCAAAGAGCATGACCCCTCGGCCATCACTAATTTGTGCCATCTACCTGTCTTCTCACTGGCTGCTTCGTCATTCATTCCTGCCCTTCTAGATGAGCAGTTTATCCAGAGAAGTGTCCATGTGCAAGGCTCCTCTGATGTGGACAGACTTCAGTCTCTCACTCTGTTTTATTTTTATTCTACTTCTGCCTCCCACTAGCATTTGCGCAAACCTCACAGGCCTCACAGACACCACACCCACCCTGCTCTCCAGGTACATCAGCTCTCCTTTGACTTTACTCTTCAGCCTCTCCAGCTGGGACCCTTGTCATCTGGTCTGTCACTGGTGTCCTCACCAGCCACTCCATTAGAGATGTCCTCACTTTCTGCTCTGTCAGCGGTATTCTGGCCAGAGGTTCTGTCTCGGGTGCCCTCACTGACCACTCATGACAGGTTCCCTTGCTGTCTGTTCTTTTGCTGGCGCCCTCACTGTACCCTACAGTGGTGCCCTTGCCACCCACTCTTTCAGCAGCGTCCCGCTGGTGCTCAGCATGTTGAGCCCTATCACATAGCACATACATTATCTATATCTCTTCTGCTCTTGGAATGCAGCGTGTGACCAGAGAAGATCGGGAAGTAGGGCTGGGCAGCTGAGTTCAAATTCACACCCTCTGACTTCAAACAGACCCTTGTTGCCTGGTAGCGCTCCTTGCTAGTTTTTTCTCTCCCTGTAATATTCTCTATATATCCCCCTTCCCTTCCAGCTGAAACTTCTCTCTGGATTGCTGACACTATATTATACATACACTCACGTTTTTCACATCTTTAACCATCCTTTTCTGTTTTCCTCCCAACCTACACTTCTTTCAACACTATCCCTTTCATTCTGCCTTCTCTGTTTTTCCCTCAGGAATATCAGCCCTCTTCCAGTTTCCTCAACCTGTACTTCTGTAGATGACTCCCACATCTTTTATTCTGATCTTGACACATTCTCTCAGATGAGCATGGTTCTAAATATTCCTGAATATTTTCATGTAAATGAGCATTCCAAACAACATAAATTGAATTTCTCACTTAAAAGTTTGTCCTAGTAATTTTCCAAATCTGTAAGATACACTGGGACTTGAGTATCTCAAACTTGGTATACCTAAAATGCTATCATTTTTCTCAAAAGCACCATCCTCCTGATGTATCTATTTATTTTCTACTTATTTACTTTTAGCATTGGCAAAGTCAGCTGTGCTCAAAACCTCAGAGATTTCATTTTTTATTTTCCTGATTGTCTTATTTTACACATTCAATCATACAGTCCCCTCCCTTTTCCTATCCCTTTCTTTTCACTCAAACCACAATTACTGTTATTACTCTTGCTTGCATAATAATATTGTAAAACATGCCTGGTCCTTGGAACCTGGCAAACCTGATTTTCGTCCCAATTTCACCGTTTGTTTGTGATTCTAGGCAGATTTGAGCTTCAATTTTCTCATTATAAAATAAAGATAATCTGGGTGCCTGGGTGGCTCAGTCAGTTAAGCGTCTGCCTTCCGCTCAGGTCTTGGTCCCAGGGTCCTGGGATCGAGCCCTGCGTCGGGCTCCCTGCTCAGCGGGGAGCCTGCTTCTCCCTCTGCCCCTACCCCCTGCTCGTACTGTCTCACTGTCTCTCTTACTCAAATAAATAAATAAAATTTTTACTTTAAAAAAAAAATGAAGATAATCTCTCTAAGTTATTGACCACATTCATGAAATGCCTGGCACATGAGAGACGCTCAGTATATTAGTTCTCCTACCCATTCTCTCTCTACCTTTAATTTCTTTTCTTTTTTTGGCCCCCACTACGTAATAATAACCAGCCATAATAACCCATTCTGTCATCTCATATAAGGCCCTACTCCAAAGCCACCTCTTCAGGAAGGTCTTCCCTGACCACCATCTAAAACAGCAGCCTCCATCATTTTTTTGTTCCTTATCTCTCTTTGCTTGCTTGCTTTATTTTTGGTAACACTCATCAGTCGTCTCCACTATAAATAATCTCCATGAAGTCAGGGATTTTCATCTATTTAACCACTGTATTTCCAGCAGTTAAAACTAGCACATAATAGGCGCTTTAGTGACTATTCATAGATGTTGAATGATTGCATTGAACACCTACTGTTCCCATTCACTGCTCTAAGAATTTTATACGCATCATCTCTTTTAATCCTCCCAACCATACTATAAGGTATAGCATTATTATTATCCTTATCTCACAGTTGTGGAGACTGAGGCTTAGCTAGGTTAAGTTACTGGTACAGAGGGGCACCTGGGTGGCTCAGTCGGTTAAGCAGCTGCCTTCGGCTCAGGTCATGATCCCAGAGTCCTGGGATCGAGCCCCACATCAGGCTCCTTGCTCAGCAGGGAGCCTGCTTCTCCCCTTCCTGCTGTTCCCCCTGCTTGTGCTTGCTCTCTCTCTCTCTCTCTCCTGCTCTCTGTGTCAAATAAATAAATAAAATCTTTTAAAAAAAAAGTTACTTGTACACAGTCACACAACTCTGAACGTTGTTGAAATATTGAGGCTATCCTCAGATTAGGGGATCAGGTCACTCTTGTCAAGCAATATACTTCTACCCTACACACCCTCCCACCAATTACCTATAGATAAAGTCTGAATTCTTTGGGCTGGTATTAAAGAATTTCAGTGTTCACCAGCCTACATTTCCTACCTTATCTGCACAGCCACAGTATCTGGCTGTGAGGCTGTGCACTGCTCAACTATGAGAACAGGTAAATGTAGGCTTTAGTGTGAATGATGCTCCTTGGGATTGTTCAGTACAATAGCCCTGCACAGCTTCTTCTGTCTCATGGGACTCTTCTGTTCTGACCATACTGGATATTCATCATTCTTCAGCGCATCCTGTGGTTTCTCACCTTTGCTGATGCTGGTCCCCTCTGCCAGAAATACCTTTCCCCTAATCCTACCTATGGAAGTTATCCTCATTCTAAAAGGCCTAGATTACATGCCATTCTTTTCTTCATGAAAGTTTCTGGGATTCACAAGCCAGAAGTTGTGCTGTCTCTAAACTTCTTTATTATAATAGATACTACATTTGTTACAACTATTTTCATAGTTGAACCATAGGATATTAATATCTGACCATGTTTGACTAATAAAAATGGCAATTTCATATATTCCAACCTAATATTTAGTTATTTGTAATTGTGTTTTATCCTTTGCTCTACCCCCACTAGATTACAAACCTTTTGTCGGTAGGGGCAAGGACTTTTTACCCTTGGTAGTGTTAGCATAGTGCCTAACACACCTAAAATACTAAAACATTTGAAAAAAAAGGCGCCTGGGTGGCTCAGTCATTAAGCATCTGCCTTCAACTCAGGTCATGATCCCAGGGTCCTGGGATCGAGCCCCACATCGGGCTCCCTGCTCAGCGGGGGGCCTACTTCTCCTTCTCCCACTCCCCCTGCTTGTGTTCCCTCTCTCTCTGTGTCTCTGTCAAATAAATAAATAAAATCTTTAAAAAAATTTTTTTGAAAAATGAATTAATATCAGCACCACATTTTATTCTGCTTTACCATTGGAATATTGCATGCAAATCTTAGTTCTTTTACTTTTCACAAATTCTATTTAATGACTATTTTGAAGAAAATTGAAAATTTGCTATATCCAAACTTAGTTTTTTTAAACTATGTGAAAGAAAATCAAATTAAGTCCATTGAGAGTTTTTCTTTAAGGATATCTCTAAGTACCATATTAAGTTTGTATAAATTTGTCATATTAATACTTTTGATGATACTGACTTCAGACTTAAAAGCTTAGGTTTAACTGATTTATTACTCAAGTTAGTTTTAATAGAATATAAATTATACAATGATTTTTCTAAGACTTGAGTAGTTTTCAGTTGTTTTATCCTTTTACAAGTATTTACAATTCTCACAGCACATTTTATTAAAATTAATTAATATTGTCTCCTTGATGCATTTTTTTTCCTTGATGCATTTTAATATCTACTGATTTTTAGCCACAGCCCCTTGAAGCTCTGACAGTTGAACAGATTCAAGATGATGTAGAAATAGACTCTGATGATCACACGGACGCTTTTGTGGTGAGCATGACAAAGAAGAGCTACTAAATTTCTTATTTTTTTATCTGAGTCATGTGTAAGTAATGGCTTAAGTGCACAGAACTTGAGACTTTTGAGAGTTATCTTAAACATGAGTTGGAAAGTAATTTTTTTTTAAGTTAAAGATTTTTTCTTTGTGTGAAATTACTTCTAAATTACCAAACTGGGAAATAGTTTGAGAACACTATTATTCAGAGGATTTCAGATCTATGAAAAATTTTTTATACCTTAGAATAATAGAACAGGTTAAATAGTTAAATTAATTTAAAATCTATACTTTTCATTATTAATCCTTATGAGATGGACATCCTTTCAATTTATTGGTATATTATCTTAAAAAGTATATTTGAACTATGAGCTTTCCTGTTTACAAATTTGTATTATTCATAGCCAAAATAATACTAATGCTTTCTATATAGTGTAGTGTATGAATCTGACCAGCATACCTCTCTGGGAATAAATATTTTTTTAAAAGTGTGAAATTAGTATAAAATATTTAATTATAAACTACAGCATTTGCTGACACATTGAAGCACTGATTGTTTTGCCAGCACCTTCTTCTAAACCAAAAGTAAGGATGAAATTTTATAGCTTCTGAGTCATTCTTTTTATCTCCTTTCAAGTTAACAATGCTAATTGTATACTAAATTACAAAACACAATTTTTGGAGCTCAAAGGATAACTCATAGTCATTACTAATGATTGACAGAAGTGAAATCTGCTGCTAGCACAGTAAAGACAGGTGTGAACACCATTAGACTCACAGAAACAGAACGTAAAATACATTTAGTTACACAGTTCTGTAAATTAATTACTTGTTCCTTGGTCCACTGACCTGTTATATGTCAAGTATGTGAAATATAATTTCTTTGTGTTATAGGCTTATTTTGCTGATGGCAATAAGGTAAGGACATTTTATCTATAGTATATGAAATAAAAACTTTCTATATTCCAACATTGAGTATTCACAACACTTATGTGAAACCTATTTTTTGTTTTTTTCCTCTTCCTTGCCCACCTTGTCTTTTCCCATCTCATCCTCTTATCTCCCAAAAAGCAACAAGATCGTGAACCTGTATTTTCAGAAGAACTGGGGCTTGCAATAGAGAAATTGAAGGATGGATTCACCCTACAGGGACTTTGGGAAGTAATGAGTTGATCTTGAGTTGAGCTGGATTTCTATTTAAAGATATCTCAAGATTAAAGATACTAGGCGCCTGCTATAAGGCATGGAATAGTTTCTACTTTTACAGAAAAAGCTCTTAAGAAAGAGTTTTTTAATGATTAAGGAAAAACTCATTTATCTAAGATTTTATTGCCACTTTTCTAAAACATATATTTAAAATTGTAATCAAAACGTATCTAGTTTGTAAATATGTTTATTTTGTACCTAATGCTTGTAAATTATTTGCAGATAATAAATGACTGCATCATGTTGGGTTTAATAAAGAATTTATACAGCACCATTTAATGTTTTGAAAGTGTTATTTAAAAGAATAAGACTATTATGGAGTAATCAAAATACTGCCTTTTTAATTGTAAAACTCTGGTTTAAATAAATTATCAAATAGCTCCAAATGTAAGCCAACTCTACTATAAATTGTAGCCCTTAAACTTGTCATGTTTAAGTGACCATTTCTGTAAAACGTAAAAATTATAGTTAACTCTGGAGTATATCAACCCAATCGCTTCTCGGCCTTTTGGCTAAGATCAAGTGTGGAGTATATCAACCCCTATGTAATGTTTTGGGCACTATCTTATAGTTTTGGCAAGAATACATTTGTTTTGTAAGGAAATAGTTTTAAATAGTTTGTAAATAAATTGTTCATTTATTGACTTTCTCTTTGTTTGTACTCATTGAAACCTCTTTGAAGTTTTCAAAAAATAGGATATTCTCTGATTTCTTGGTTAGCTGTGATTTGGGAACTTCTCTGGCATCCGTGTTTTTTGCCACTGCTTTGGTATAAAGAAACATTGTAAGGAACCTTTGTCAAATCATTGAAATTAGCCAAAGGAGCCCTCTTTCTCTAGAGGGAAAGGAGTGAGTGTGTAATAACATATAAAATAAGATGGAACTGTATGTACAACCATAAACACATAGTAAAACCAAATGCTAGCGGGACGCCTGTGTAGCTCAGCCGGTTAAGCATCTGCCTTCAACTCAGGTCATGATCCCACGGTCCTGGGATCGAGTGCTGCATCGAGCTCCCTGCTCAGCGGGAAGCCTGCTTCTCCCTCTGCCTGCTCTGCCTGCCAGTCCCCCTGCTTGTTCTCTCTCTCTCTCTCACACAAATAAATAAAATCTTAAAAAAAGGGGGGGGGGACACGCCTGGGTGGCTCAGATAGTTGGGCGTCTGCCTTCGGCTCAGGTCATGATCCCAGGGTCCTGAGATCGAGCCCCACATCCGGCTCCTGGCTCAGCGAGGAGCCTGCTTCTCCCTCTCCCTCTGCCTCTCTCCCTGCTCATGCTTTCTCTCTCTCTCTCTCTATCTCTATCTCTGTGTCTCAAATGAATAAATAAAACCTTAAAAAAAATGCTAGCCAAGTGCTAATTTGAGTTTCATTAAAATCAATGAAGAAAGCTATACATTGGTTTCTATTTAAAAAGGAAAGGAGGGTGCCTGGGTGGCTCAGTTGGTTAAGCAACTGCCTTCAGCTCAGGTCATGATCCTGGAGTCCCTGGATCGAGTCCCGCATCAGGCTCCCCGCTCAGCAGGGAGTCTGCTTCTCCCTCTGACCCTCCCCCCTCTCATGTGCTCTCTCTCTCTCATTCTCTCTGTCTCAAATAAATAAAATCTTTAAAATAAAAAAAATAAAAAGGAAAGGATTTGTACATTTTTAAGAGATGGGGTTATAATAAGCAACCTACATTAAGGGGGAAAAAAGGTTGTTTGAAAAATTTACACAGGTCACAAAATGCTGCCAGGAATATGTTTAAATAGTTTTTGAAGCAAAACAGACTTTATAATTGCTGACTAGTAAGAAATCTCAAATGTCATATCATGGTGTTTGCATCTGACTCATTAATCTTTTCAAATGTTAGTTACGAGTAGAGAGAAATGAGTCATTTATTGTTTAAACAAGGGAGCAGCTGTTAGATTTTCTAGTGTGTTAAAACCTTTAGTGACATCTATAAATGGAAAAAAGAGTCAATGAGCTCTTTCAGCTGTTGTTTTAGCAGCTGACGGTACCTTTGACTTCACTGTGATGTAAAATAAGAAAAAAAACCTTTACTCAGAGACCTTGAAGTTTAAAAATACACAATTCACTGATCTGGGGGCATTTATTCATTCGACAAATATTAGAGCACATGAGGCTCCGGGGCTATAGCACTGAACAAAGCAAACCAAAAAAAAAAATTCCTGTCTTCAAGGAGCTTATATTCTTTTGAGGTTTAAGAATACCAAACTTTGAGGGGCACCTGAGTGGCTCAGGTTAAATGTCGGTGGCTCAGTCGGTTAAATGACTGCCTTCGGCTCAGGTCATGATCCCAGGGTCCTGGGGTCAAGCCCTGCATCGGGCTCCCTTTGCTCAAGGAGGAGCCTGCTTCTCCTTCTCCCGCTGTCTCTCCCCCTGCTCATTCTCTCTCTCTCTCAAATAAATAAATAGAATCTTTAAAAAAAAAAAAACCAAACTTCGAAATTATACAGTATTTCTGCAGCCTCACTGAGTTCAGAAAATGTGACAGTATAATTTTGTAATAAAATAGTTCATGAAGAGGTATATATGATGTCATATGCATATAAACAAAAGATTTTTTTTCAAATGACTTCTGCATTCTGTAATTAATAGAGTGTTCTGTTACAGTCAACAACTTAGATTATTATTTCAGTTATATATTTTTTTTCCTTGAATAGGCTTGTTTTCCAAATTATGCAGGTGATATAGCACTTCTTCCTGATTTTGCTGTGTTCTGTTGATAACATTGTTTTTGTGGAGTTTCATCTATTCTGTATTTTAACTTTTTATTTAATTTTATTATCTTCACTTAAATCACAGGATATCTTTAGTAATCATATGTGATTTTTTTCTTTACCTAGTGTTGACTTTTAACTATTTCTATTTCTTTCTGGACTTGATTCATTTTAACCTTTTGCCTTTATGCTACTTGTTTTATAATTGTTTGCCATATCAGATCCTTTGTAGAGAAAGGCAGGGTATGAATAACTTAAATAATTTTATAATGTAATTCAATACCAATTATAGTTTTTCCACTTAAGAAGAAGGATAATTTAGAATATCTTAGAAAATTAGCAGTTTCTCTGCATTTATTACTTCAATTATGATGGGGTATTGTTATTAAAGGGGTTTTTTAAATTATATTAATAGTACATAAATAGAAGTCTTTAAGTTTCCTACTTCTAAAAGAAAATTGTAAATACCACTGTTTTAAGTAGAAAATAAAAATTTGTATGTAACAGTAATTGGAAAAGGGGTTTTGCTTGTGAGTTTTCAAATGAACTCACCTCATATTCTTGACCTTTGCATCATTAATTCAGACAACCAAGGAGTTTGCCACTAGACCATTTTTAGCGGACTGACTCATTTTTATGATTCAGTTTTCTGTCAGTTCAATAAACACTTTCTTTAAACATGCCTTTATTGGCATATGTTCTCTAATGCTTTACGTATATTAAAGCTTCCCACTTCATTTCAATCTCTTGTTTCTTAGCTGTTAGTGATTAAAAGTTCCAGTTGTTCCCTTCAATCTAGAACAGCTGCAAGAACAACGCTTCTTTCCAAACTAGCTCTCCTGAATTCCCGTTGTTAGAGTTGGTGTCTATATTTAGCTGGTGGGATTAAATTGCAAAGGCTTCAAGCTGGGCAAAGCACACTGATCTGCCTTTTTACAGCTAGACCTGTGTGCTGCAAGGAGCTAAGGCCTTCAGTGTCCCCTTCCTTACCCAGGTTACTCACAAAATGGATTCCCAGCGGGAGCTCACAGAGGAACTGCGGCTTTACCAATCCACTCTTCTTCAGGATGGTCTAAAAGATCTCCTGGAAGAAAAAAAATTCATCGATTGCACCCTAAAAGCAGGTGACCAAAGTCTTCCTTGCCACAGATTGATTTTGTCAGCTTGTAGTCCTTACTTCCGTGAGTATTTTTTATCTGAAATTGATGAGGGGAAAAAAAAGGAGGTAGTATTAGATAATGTGGATCCTGCTGTACTGGATTTAATCATCAAGTACCTGTACTCCGCCAGTATTGATCTCAACGATGGAAATGTGCAAGATATTTTTGCCCTGGCCAGCCGCTTTCAGATCCCATCGGTGTTCACTGTCTGCGTTTCTTACCTTCAGAAAAGACTTGCTCCTGGTAACTGCCTAGCCATTTTAAGATTAGGACTTCTTCTTGACTGCCCGAGACTTGCCATCTCTGCCCGTGAATTTGTGTCTGATCGCTTTGTACAGATTTGTAAGGAAGAGGACTTTATGCAACTATCTCCACAGGAACTGATCTCAGTCATTTCAAATGACAGCCTAAATGTAGAAAAGGAAGAAGCAGTATTTGAGGCAGTGATGAAATGGGTGCGAACAGACAAAGAAAACAGGGTTAAAAACCTTAGCGAAGTGTTTGATTGTATCCGTTTTCGCCTTATGACAGAAAAATATTTTAAAGATCATGTTGAGAAAGATGATATAATTAAAAGCAACCCAGAACTCCAGAAAAAAATCAAAGTTCTTAAAGATGCCTTTGCAGGCAAACTCCCAGAACCCAGCAAAAATGCAGAGAAGGCTGGGGCTGGTGAGGTGAATGGGGATGTTGGTGATGAAGATTTACTTCCCGGTTACCTGAATGACATTCCCAGGCATGGAATGTTTGTCAAAGACCTCATCCTCTTGGTTAATGACACAGCGGCAGTGGCTTATGATCCCACAGAAAATGAGTGCTACCTTACTGCATTGGCTGAGCAGATTCCCAGGAATCATTCTAGCATTGTTACCCAACAAAATCAAGTGTATGTGGTAGGAGGACTATATGTGGATGAAGAAAATAAAGATCAACCTCTACAGTCCTACTTCTTCCAGGTAAGAAGGGCTATTTTTATAAAAGTAGAGGCATAAAGGAAACTGTTATTTACCATCCCGTTAGCTGATGTGTGAATTATTCAGGCTGCTTGTGTTTTATTCTACTTGATGTCCTATTCCAGTCCCTTGCACTTTTGCCACTTCGAGAGCTGACAGAAATATTTACATCAGTTAATTTCACTTCAGAACCTGAAGAATGAGGTTCTAATTAATGTGTAAGTGATGACTCAAGATTTACTTTATACTCTTACCCAAATGTCAAGTTTATAGCTGATGGTGACTATGATCTTTCAAAACCCAGTGTTTTAGTAAAACTTAAATTTAATCTTGTACCTCTTTTCTGGAAAATAGGTTAATGTATTTCCCTAAATCATAGTACTTTACACATTACAAAAATGATAATTGATCAGATTTTCAGCCTTTTTCCAGGTTTTCTTG